AGAGAGAGAGAGAGATTCTATACTATTCAAGTTTTTCATATTTACATATTATTTTTTATTCATATATAAAAAAAACATACATACAATGCAATGAACCGTCCCTTGCACAATAATTAAACTCATAACTGATCATAATAATAATAATAATCATCATAATAATAACATTCATCATAATAATAACATTCATCATAATAATCACTGATCATAATAATTATTCATAATTCAAATCATAACGTTGATAATGAAAGAAAAACACTCAAGAACATCATAAAGAACATGTACATATTATTCACTATTCAATCATCTCGGCGAAATAGGAATAAGGACTGAAATAAAAGCCTTATAAATACCATAACTGTGACAAAGAAACGTCTTTCAAATTGTTTTTCTTTTCCCCGATTTCCCCGCTGAAAAAGACATTCAGTACGTAGACCAACGAATTTTGTATCTTCTCCAATTGAAGTCTATCCTAGCCTGGTATCCAGTGTATCGTGGTTGTGGAGGGTTTTCTTCGGGGCTAATCAAACTCCGATCCCGCCGTGACTAACCTACTGTGGGAGAACCTAGCTCAGACGGGCGGGGAAGAGCTTCAGCGGCCCCGAAGAGAACCCGCCCTATACCACGATAGACTGTATACCAGGTTAAGTTTATCCGTATCTTTTCCCCATTCTCAGACGTGGGTTTTGCGACCAGGAAGATCGGCAACATGCTGAGTCCCCAGAAGGTGATCAGCCAAGATGGCGACCACATGAACATCAAGACGCTCAGCACCTTCAAGAACCACGAGATTGACTTCAACCTCGGGCAGGAGTTCGAGGAACACACGCTGGACGGCAGGACGGTCAAGGTGGGTACGGGGAAAATATATGAAACTTTATTGCATGTTTATTCCCCGGGGGGATAAATACACAGATGTACAGAGTACAATGCACTAGAGAGTACTACAACAATAGTAATAAAGAAAGGCTAAATCAGGTCTAAGGTATACAATGTTGAAAAAGAAATATATATATAAAGTGGTATATATCTAAGTTCTAATGGCTTCTTCTCTCTTTTTGAAACATTTTGAAATATACTTACATACTTCATTGATGACGTCTATGTTTGTACATGATATGATATATCTATGGCTTCACCACAAAGTGGTGAAGACATATTGTGTTCCCTCATGTTTCTCCTTCTTCTTCTTCTTCTTCTTCTCCTCCTTTTCGCCATTTCTTTAATGGGATTCAACTCAGCCGTTTTTCAGCCAAATGACCTGAAATTTGGCATGGACGTAGAGTGGGCCATTACCCCGACGCATTTTTTTGAAAAATTGTTTTATTTGGTTTTTTTGGCCATTTTCAGGCAAAAAATATACATTTTGGGATATGGAGCCCTGGTACTAAAACCAAATGACCTGAAATTTGGTATGGGGATACGTTGGACATATGTCTGCAAAACCTAATTCAAGCTTTCGACATACACCACTTTAAAATTGTGAAAAATAGGGCTTTTTGGCTATTTTTGGACCAAAAATGTACATTTTTTGGCTCCTGTGCCCTCATATTAAATCTGAATGACCTGAAATTCGGTATGGGGATACCTTGGACACATGTCCAAAGAATGTCATTCACGCTTTTGACATACACCACTTTAAAATTATGTAACATATATAGGGCTTTTTGGCTATTTCCGGCATTGGAAGATTCCATTGCTGCATGGGGGTATAGACTATTGGCAGCCATCGTGGGATAGATCCACTTTCGGTATGGGGGATGTGGTGAAGCCATCTGCTGCATTTGCTCCCAAGCAAATGTCGGCCTTTCTAGTTAAAAGTGTCTTCTTTTGATAATGTTTTGCATTTTTTGTCGAGCTTAATTGAACTGAACAGTGATTTACGTTCGTTATCATATAATAAACAGTCAAGCATAAAATGCGATTCCTCTTCAATACAAGAATTTTTACAGAATTTGCATAGTCTAATATTCTAACAAATTAAGGGAAATGAGAAACAAATGCATACTAAAAACACATATTAGGTCATCAGCATGACATAGAAATGTCATGACGCCGTCTTAGTTTTGAAGGAAATCACTTTCTGTACACGGATGAATTGACAAGTGCTTCTTATCATGTAGCATGTATACATAAAGTTGAACGATTTTTCCGTGAGCGTTCTCAAATCTTGCGCCTTTTGTCATGTTCAGTATCGTAACAAATTTTTTATCCACAAAAAAAAACTGATTAAAAACATCAAGGTCGGTCTCTTTCTTGTTTAGTACGGTATTGAGTAAAGACAATGACTTGGTGTCAGCATGAAAGTTTATCTGAGTTGGTAAATTACATTATGAAAAACTTAAACTTTTCTCCAACTCAAAATTTGACTCACCAGAAATTTTCGACTGAATCACTCAGTCTTCCTCAGTTCTGTTGCATCTGAGGTGTCACAGCACATCCACATAGAATCACCGGGACACACAGTGGATCTAGAGGGGGTCAGAATCTTGGATACCGAACAGGATTACTTCAAGAGAGGCATAAAAGAGGCCATATACATCAGGGCACTTTAACCATCGCTCAACCGGGACGGTGGGTGATATCGACTTCAGACAACCTTTGACCCTTTGCTGACGTCACACGTGGGAAAAATCACGTGTCCACAGCATGTGGGTCAGATAGCTGAGGAAGACTGAGTGATTCAGTCGAAAATATCTGGTGAGTCAAATTTTGAGTTGGAGAAAAGTTTAAGTTTTTCATAATGACTTGGTGTATTGACTACATCCGCAGACCACCATCACCTGGGACGGGGAGAAGCTGTGTGCAGACCAGAAGGGAGAGAAGTCTGACCGCGGCTGGTGTCACACACTGGTGGACGGAAAACTTCACCTGGTCAGTACTAGTGTTAGCCTGGGTGCCAGCCGTTTTCTAACGGGGCTCCTTGCACTCGATTCGGTCGGGTAGCCCCTTTACAAAACGGATGGAACCCAGGCTAGGTCAGTGTCACTTCGAACTGACAAGCAAAATTTGTGGCTTTTAGGGCCATGTTGAGTTGAATACATGATGACATCCGTATTTTTGTCCGTTTCCCCCCAAAGTTTTCCAGCATACTGTAAATCGCACAAAGTGGCTGCAAAATGAGCAAATGTGTGCTGTAGATTGAAAAAAATATTGGATAACTACATAGATAAACATATTGCTTCTAGGTGGGGAATGTCTTAATTTTCTTATATCATGTATTATAGTACTGTACTTTGTAACCAGTTGATATGTTATCGTTATTTTAGGTCTTGTATTTATGGTAGATTTCTTATTTGATGTTTGTCTGCACGTTTGTACCTGTGGGTTATCTAATACCAGTCATCACTGCCTTGATAACCTGTATCTTGACGTGTTGTCATTACAAAGAAAGAAAGAAAGAAAGAGAGAGAGAGAGAGAGAGAGAAAGAAAGAAAGAAAGAAAGAAAGCGTTACCAATGTCGTAGAATGTCAAAATTAATTCCAAGGGAAAAGAATAAAATGTGAGGAGATAAAACAATTAAGAGTCTGCTATTCGCCATACCATACTCTGTGTGTTTAGTTATTTGTTCAACCTTCATGACCACGTAGATTTCATAATGAAGGCAACGTTTTTGCCATACTTTTTTTATTCAGCTGAGTAGATCATGATTATGTTTACCGAAGGAAAACATATTGTTTTTTCTCAGTTTCTTCCTCTTCTTCTTCTCCAAACAGTGACCTCTGACTTGGCCAATGGCCTCATTTGTTGACGTCTGTCACCATGGTAACTGGTGTTGGGTTACATAATGTTGCAATTTCATAGTAGGAGGCATTTAGACTCCTGTCACCAAATATATACATGCGCGAATGTGTTTGAGTAAGAATTAACAGAGCAGACCACAACCGACGGTAAACATTATGCACTTGCTTTGGAAGTGTTACTTTTCTAGTTATAAGATTGTTTCTTAAGTAACATGTTTTTTTCTTCCTCACCCCCCCCCCCCCAGGACCTTCATGTCGGTGACGTCCGCTGTCATCAGGAGTTCAAGAAAGAGTCTTAATATTCGTCTTTAAGGAAATGAAGATGCCATGTTTTCTTTTAAATCTACCAGCGTAACTAAGTTTAATTACCAAATTAGTTCAATCAATACAGATAATTTGCTTGTTGTGACGGTTGTGTAAAAATTTGATGTAAACTTTTGCCGTGTAAGGAAACTGATTTAAAAATGTGAATAGGTGTAAAACCGTGTAATGACTAAAATAAAGAATTACTTTATTTGTTGTTTAGCATAGGCTATAGCTAACGAACGGTCCCCCCATACGAGGGGGGACAAGCGACACTACTCTGTGTAATCTACAACAGATGCTGGCCAGCGTGGCCAGTGTGGTCACTCAGACCCTGCGTTTCTCGGGTGCGGCCGCTGAAAATCAAGTGAGCGATGTCGGCAAACTTTGACTTCAAGGCGTGGGCCTCCGAGGCCAAACTCTCGTCCGTGACCATCAAAAAGATGGAGGAAGCCGACCTCACGGAACCAACTGCCCTTCAGTGTGTGACGGCGGAGATGTTGAAAGACCTGGAGGTCACGATCGGGCAGTACGCTTTACTCTGCAAGGCTACCGCGAAACTGCAGGTCACAACACCAGCGAAGGCAGCCCTGCAGAAGGTCACTCTGGAGGACCTAAAAGCGGACCAGGCCCTCAACGCCCTTCTCGCCGAAGTCGACGACACAGCGGAGGTCATCAAGGACGACGACCAGTCGTTTTACCTCACTTCCCCGACTTCCAAGCCAGGTGAGAAGCCCTTGCTTATACCCGATTTCGTCGACTCTTACACTCAGCCTGAAAGTGATCACGAGATTGCTAGGGATGGCCAGACGGCCATCATCTTACGTACCAGCAAGACCAAACCAAAGCTAGAGTCCATTAAAGTTCCAGCGTGGTCTGCGGCTAATGCCAATGCGGTTAAACAAGGATATATAATGCCCTTGGTAGACAGCCATCTGCACGATTTTCCCAATTATAACTTAAGAATCAAGTAAACAGGCACGCCTGACATTCAGAAGAACAACGCAACACGGGCAGTCTTTCATACTACTTGTATCAAAGGCCTTGTTCATATGAAACCACCCGAACCGCGATTCGGGTAACACGCATTCCTCACATCTGGTCCACGTGACACACGTTCCTTTCAAACCGTGCCTGATCACGATTCTCAGAAACTGCATTCATTTTTTTTATGAAAACACACAAGGTAGCGTGTTATTAATTTCAGAGGTCAATGACCTGCTTGCTGGTGCCCCCCTCCCAGCGTATCTCGGCCGAATGCCGACGTGGTCCCGCCAGAGGCGGTGAAGCTTGTCCTAGAACGGACACATTATTTGACCATTACTACTCGTTAAGTTGCTGACACGTAAAATTTGGTATTGCATATAAATAAAGAAATATCACCCCGTAATCCATGACCAGGCGAAGTCACATTGAAATCACATTGCGTTCAGACGCAAATCGCGATGCGGGAAAACCGATTCGAAACCACCTATAGAAGTGGTTTGGGATCGAGGCGCTTCCAATGTGATTTGGAGCGTTCAGATGGGGCCACTTGAAACCGGCTTCGGGGGAAACCACATGTAAAGCGCCTTCACTGACTTCATATGAACAGAGCCAAAGTTACTGTCTTAGCATCATGCGTAGTGGAATTATGATTTTTATAATATGTACAGCTTGTGATATGAAGTTTAATTCACGATTTTTAAATTCTATATGAGGAGTTTTGTTATTCTAATGATTGACAATGTAATGCGTGCAGTGTCTGTAAAATTTTAACATACTTCATGTGACATTGGGTATGTGACATGCCAGCCGATTTTAAATAAAACTGGTACTGATGCTCTGTAATAAGTCAAAATGTCGGGTAAGTTAATGGGAATTTAAGCCGACAAAGAGACAAAGATATATATCACATATTCGTTTATTAAAGATACACAGAAACAAAGCATATTTTATTCATTTTAGTCAACGCTTTAGACAGCAGAATAGATCGGTGTATCTAATAATAGAACAACATGGCATAACACAGACACATTTTAATTATTTTAATCAACACTGAACAGAAATGTCCTCATAGACTGAGACATATACAAGAACACACTCCTATATATTGTTCATAACAGTAAGGCAGTGGGGAGGTGGCCAACTACGCTATTCAATTCTCAGTTATGATATCGTGTTTTTTTGTGTGCGTTGTTTCCACATATCAAGCCAACATACTGTGAGGCTTTGGGTATCACTATGATAGGTTTTGACTCGTATGGAGGTTCAGATAAAGGTTCTCTGATACTCTGTCTGGGTGATATGCCCTAGAAATCAGTCCAAGTCCTTCCAGTAACCTTTTTTGGCAGAATTTGGGGCATTTTGCTCCATGAATGGCGATATACATTGGGACAGTGTTGTTTCAGCTTAGTATGTGGATAAGTGACTAGAATATTGGCTTTGAAAAATATCTGGTTTCCTAGCCCTTAAAATTGATGCCTTTAAAGGCATCCAGTGCCGTTTTTAAGGCTTGGAAACCCGAAACAAAGCCAATGTTCTAGTCACTTATCTACATACTGAGTTCAAACAACACTGTCCCAATGTATATTGACCCTCATGGAGCAAAAATTCCCAAAATTCTGACGGAAAATTGTTACTGCAAGGGCCCTTGATTTTTAGGGTACCACCCAGAAAATAAAGGACTCATCTTGGGGCTTGTTTCTGCAGTTTTAAAAGCCCAACGTATGAAATACTGTCTCAAATGTGCTAATGTGAAGCAGTATGTGTCAATATCACAAAGATTGCCTTATTTAAAATATTTTCAGTTTTGCTGCCCTGAAATCGCATTGGATGCCTTTAAGGGTGGGGGTGTATTTAGCTCGACTCCTTCATGGCAGCCACCGCCGCCATCATCCTCTCCTGGATGTCCTTCACGTACGGCAGCGCCACCATGCGGTCCCGCCACGCAACGATGTTCTTGTACTCGCTGACGTCATACCCGACCATACCCAGCATGCCAGAGGCTCCGCCAAGCGAGAAGTCTGCAATGGAAAATTAAAGAATTGAGTCAAGATTTTACATTGACATGAGTCAAGATTTTACGAGTAGCCCGATGTGGAGCACAAATGTTAGCAACATCACATTTAATGGGATTCTGTCTCAGGGCATGCCCAACAAGGGTCACTTGCACACATCTCGCTTGTAAGACTAAACCTAGACTATGCTGCGACAGTATAGGAGGTATATACAAAGAGAGACGGGAAAGGTCACAGTACAGAATCAAGTTGCAAGATTCTGTACGGAACTGAAAAGAATACAGTGGGTGTCGCTGAAAGAAAGAAGAAAATGTACTATGCATGATGTACAAAATGACTAACAAACTGGTGGACGTACCAACTACGTACTATCTATTTATTTTTTTATTTTTATTTATTTAAATTGCAAACAGTACAGTGCAATACAGTGGAAGCCCTGGCAGCTGAGCTGATATCGGGCCCCACATTGTGAAATACATACATACATAACACAATAAAGTAACGAATCACAGAAATTTCTCAACCTAGGCTAATGATTGTATACAAAAAAGTAATAATATAAATCAGTATAGTAGGAGGCCAGAGGTCATTCAAAATATATAATATTCAATACTATCTAATACCAGCTCAGAAAAGAAGAACAAGAAACAGTCATGCCTTCAAACACGAACACGTACACACGCATTTTAATTTTGTCCTATCACTAAAACATTTCAGTACTTACCCGCCAGCGAAAGCTCGTTGCCTGCGACGTAGTTCTTTCCTTCCAACATCTTGTTGAAGAGTTCCAACTGGTCTTTCAACTTCTGCTTAGCCTCGTCGTCAGGTTCTTTCTTGCCGACCAGCATTGGGCCCTGGGTTTGCGGAGATAATAAAAATAAGTCACATACCATTCGATTATTAAATCTTTCGAGGCTCTGTTATATTTGGCATAAGGAGTTTGGGCCATAAGTTTCCGTGGACAGCGTTACTCGTTTTGAAAATATTTCGATTGCAATTTTGTGATGTTTATGAGTTTTTTTAGGGTCGTGTTTGAATTTGATTATAGAAACCTGCTTTTCTGACAACAGTCCAGTGTCACTGACGAAAGATATTCGATGAAACGTCTGACCGTTTCCAAAATTGTATCCAGTTGCTCCAGTAACTATTTTTGTCTTTTTTTTTTTGGGGGGGGGGGAATACAACTAGTTATAGAAATATCTTTGTTTACAAGGCCTTTAATGAACACTGTTATTTTACGATAAACTTAGAAGTGAGATTTGTATTGAGCACAATAAAGGTAAACTTTACAGTTGTAGGATGCACTACTCAGTGTTACCTGCTGCTCGTCTGATGGCCTAGCGGTTATGACATGTACTGCAGCTGGTTTCCTATTTCTTAACAATTTGCCACCATTTTACAATCATTCTGTTATTTGCTGATAACATATAACACGATAAAAAATGTACTGACCACATAGCCGCCGATGGCAGGCATGTAGGAGGTCAGGTCAAACTGAAGCATCATGTTGATCTTTGCCCTTTTCTTAGGGTCCTTCGGGTAGAGCTTGTCCGGGGTCTTACTGTACTTGTCATTCAGGTAGATGTTGATGGCACGGCTGGAACAGGTAAAACAATGTCAGCAACTCTGAATGTAAATTACGACTACAAGAGCAACAACCCCTACATCTGCAACAATCCCTGCAAGAAATTATCTTGAGAGGAAACTTCGATAACTGTGAGCATCACTGTATCAGTAGTCCCGAGTGCAAATGTGGGCATCCAAATGAGACACCAGAACACTATTTATTACACTGCAAATTTTATAATACTGAAAGGACCAAAATGTTGTTATCCATATCTTGCCTTCGTCTTGAAAACATACTCCCTTCCGACCCACTCAACGCAAATGACGCCACATTATGTACTTTACTTCTTACAGGCAGTCCCTCCCTCCAATACCCTACTAACTGCCGTATCTTTGATAGTGTGGTTAACTATATCCACCACTCTGGAAGATTTGACCAATCTCATTTATTTAATGTTATGCTATAGGTATTGGTGCGCCAGCCACTTTCATTTTATGTTAATGCTATATTTTATGTCATCTTTATGTTTACATTTGTATTATGTTTTATGAGCAGCGGATTTACATAAGCACAATAAATGCTTCCTATCTAATGCTCAAAAATCTATGTGAATAAAATAAAAAATAAATAAATAAAAGTAACTGTGTGAAAGTAAAACTTGTTTCAAGAAAAATAAAATAAATTTCTTTAATAAGGCAAGAAAAATTAACTTGAAGAATTGTTTTCTTGGACACAGCATAATTTTCTTCATGTAATATATAGATATACATCTTGCATTTTTGGTAGTGATAAATTTACGACTATTCCCATAATAAATCTTTTTGCGATCGTAGGACGATCGTGCGAGGAAAATGACGGCTATGAAACAGTCCTTCAAGATCCTGTGGAACAGCTAGTCTCCACCAGACTTCTTTTGCGGGCTGAATAAATCGTAGAAATCGGCCTAAAAAGGGTATTTATTGGCCAGAGAAGGTAGCCGGCCAGAGAAGCTCCATTTTCCTGCTTGACAAAGCAATACTCTTTTTGGCCGATTTCTACGATTTATTCAGCCTGCAAAAGAAGTCTGGTGGAGACTATGGAACAGCCTTGCTCAAATATCTATCATTACAAAGATCATTTTCCATGAGCATGCGTACAGCGCCCATGTAGGTCATAACCTGGTTAATATGGCGACCAATGAAACAACAGAATCGTGACAGCCGCTTTTTACCCAAAAACAAACCGCATAGTCCACACCGATCTAATAATTAAATTAATAAACCCTGACAACCTAATGTTGCTCTACAACGTAAGGAATGGGTCCTAACAGTAAGGCTTTTCTCCGACATATAGGTTTATATTTAAACCATGCTGTATTGGGGCAATTTAGAATAAACCGCCCTATCAAATCTTACGTCCTAGGGTGAACGTATTATATATGGGATATAACGTTATTGAAATAAGAATATGATCATAGAATTTTATACGTTCTCGATCTCCTTGTGGTTATTGGAGGTCCCTGCAAGCTTAGTACTACTCTCCAAGCAGAGGTTAGGCTAATATTGGCTTATTTTGGCGTGTTTGTTTTTATCATTTTATCGGGCTTTCTTTTTAAATGGTAACTGCCTGGCAAATGGATACTGTCTGGCCAATTTGATATCGTCTTGCAGCCACCCAAAGATATGGTTATAGATTATCTTGGTAGCATTGAACGCTACTAGCTTCTCCATAGTTTCAGCTTAGCCTCTATCAGGCCTCGGAAAGCGGCTGGAAAGAGTAGAAGTTGGCCAAATATGTCAATAACTTGCCAGGGGAGTTTGTCCGCTACAGAGTATAATTTGCTTTACTCTCTAGCGGACCAACACCCCTGACACGGTGTCTCTCTCTTTGGCCAATTTCTACTCTTTCCTAGCCTCTACCAGGCACCGCGGATCGCTGGAAAAATAGTAGAAATCGGCCGAAATAAAGGCATAATATACT